ATATGATTTAGTGACACCATGTTTAATGTTTTTATTTCAAATTCAGTACAATAAACGTGTTTTGTGACCTTTTTTGGAAATTATGATAAATCCACTCAAATTTTTTTCAAATATGAACTCTTTCAAACTCTTTAAATTGCATTTAGTTGTAAACGTAAATATGACAATTTAAACTTTGTCTTTGCAGGAATTTTCTGAACAACGATGGCTTTGGTGCCCTATGATGAGAATGTGCTCCCAGCTCTATCCAAGCTTCACCAGGCTTCAACCGAATTCACTCTGGCCAATCACAGGATCAGACTCAGCCAGGACTGGAAACGACTGGGTGTTGCAGCTGTGGTCTGGGATGCTGTACGGTTACACGTTTACTTAAGTCTCAGTGCATTCACTTATAATGGTATTTAATTCAGACAGTGATTGAGATTCTATTTCAGTTAAAATCAACATTTCACATCTCTTATTTTCGCACTGGCTCAAATTTCAGTTTCTGCCATTTTTCAAAAGCTCTTTTTAGTTTCTCAGTTCATGACCCCTCTATGAAGATTTCGAGGCGAGCAAAGCTTAAATAACTAGCATCATAAACAGATAGACTTGCTCTCGGAGCCTGATTAATTTGTGTCATCTTTATAGCGGTAAAATGACTGCCAATGTTCCAGTGGAAGCATCAATTAAAGCTTTACAATTGAATCGCAGCTGCTCATTCGCTGTCTGGATTCAGCTTTGAGGATATAATATAGAATACCCTTGTTTTTTTCCAGGCGATAGTCCTCTGCATGTACTTAGAAGCAGGAAATGTGGATCTGAAAGGAAAGCGGGTAATCGAGCTCGGTGCTGGCACTGGTTTGGTGGGAATTGTCGCCGCTCTGCTGGGTATGAATAATAACTTGATATGAATTTAGCAGCATGGTAGTTGAGTGCTTTATTCTGATTAGCCCTGGAGTGTTTCAAAGACCCAGCATTAAATTAAGAAAAGAACAAACATTACAGAGAGAAATTATGCAATGCAACCAGGATCTTATATCAAGCTCAATGAGAGAAAGAGAAAGAGAGTGTGTCTTTACATCACATGTAAACTGTAGGGAGTAGAAATAAAACAACATAGAAAAAAATAAATTATAAACTTGAGCTGTGTGGGGATTAATAAAGAAACATTCATAATAATATATTATTAGAAGAATAGAGAAATGGGTTTGGTTTATTTTACTCATAGTAACATTGGGAATATTGTCACGGACTCCCCCATGGCAACCACAATGTTTATCATAGGAACCAAATTAGCTTATCTCCATCCCAGCTTTGGAGAAGAATAGAGACAAGTGTTTGGTTTATTTTACTCATAATAACATTGGGAATATTGTCACGGACTCCCCATGGCAACCACAATGTTTACCATAGCAACCAAATTAGCTTATCTCCATCTCAGCTTTGGAGAAGAATAGAGACAGTTTGGTTTATTTTGGTCATAGTGACTTGAACAAAATAACATTACATTATGTCACTGACTCCCCCATAGCAACTACACATTTTACCCTAGCAACTAAATCACCAGATCTAGATCTCAGCTTAGGGAAATAGAGAGAAGTGAACCTTTTATTGACATCATTGATTTTACCCTAGCAACCAGTTAAAAACATTCTATAGCTCAGGAAAATCATTGATGATTGAGGTAAAGATGTTACCGCTGCTAGTAAAGGGCACATTTTAAACAGTGTTTGCTCTTTCTTTGTATGTTCCACAGGAGCCAATGTTACGATCACAGACCGAGCTCCTGCTTTGGAACTGCTCTCCGCTAATGTACGCGAGAATGTTCCTCCCGACCAGCAGGGGGCGATGCGTGTCTCAGAACTGACCTGGGGCGAGAATCTCGAACTGTATTCACCAGGAAGCTTTGATTTAATCCTGGGAGCAGATATAGTTTATCTAGAGGAGTCGTTTCCTGCGCTCCTACGAACCCTGGAGCACCTGAGCGCCGAAGTTTTATTGTCGTGTCGGATCCGGTACGAACGAGATGAGCGTTTCCTGATGGAGCTGCGTCAGAGGTTTAATGTGAAGGAGGTTTATTATGACTCTCAAAGGGACATTCACATTTATAAAGCTGGGAAGAGCCGGAGTAGCACTGAGCTGTGAGAAACCTTGAGGAGGAGAGCCTTCTGTACATTTAAATATCGTTTAAAAGTGCTTTTTTCAGGACTGTTTGATCACCAGGTGGCACTTCTTCTCTACACTGCTACAGCCAGATTAAAATCTCTTTCTATTTGTTTTCATGTTTAAAAGATGAAATGTAATTATTATTAGGTGTTTTGCCAATAATAAATATTTTAAAAATATTTTTATTAATTCATTGCATCATTAAAATGGATATTATAAATGCTACATACTACATATAATGTATATTATAATACTAAATGCAACAATTATATTAAATAAAATATAATTAATCATAGTTTAAAGTAAGTATTTAATCTACACTTTATATGTAGATTGTCATTGAAGATGCCGCATTGATCAAAATTGAATTTGACAACTTTTACAATTACAGATATTAATAGAAATATTTATCACCCAGATTACATTTATCCCTAAACGTTTGAGAAGGGTTAAATTTGTGACGGCGCCGCAGCAAAACTGTGACGAAGTTCTGCGTTTTGGATAACAGTTGAAAAATGAATTTTTGAGCTCCAAGATGCAGTCATGGCGACAGTGTCGGATTACCATGTTTATCTAGTGTGACATTTCGGACAAAATTTTTTAACCTAATCAGGGGGTCGAAACAGCTGAAAAATCTATTTTGTTGCATTCAAGGGGGCGCTGTAGAGCCATTTTTCAACTGTGTCTGATTATCAGGGTTAGGGAGCCTGACCTCTGTGCAAAATGTGGTGAGGTTTCGAACTTGTTCAGAGGGAAAAAAAACAGCTGAAACTGAGATTTTTGTTTTTTTCAAGGGGGCGCTGTTCTGATAAGAAAATTAATAATAAACAGAGCTTATCCAATATGGCTTCACCGGTGGCATATATAACATTAGCCGTGTGCGTTAACCGAGCGGCAACCTCCGGCTTTCCTTCTTGAAGCCTAATAAGAAGTGACTTTAACTGGAATTCCTCTACCCACCTCTAGAGGCTGGCTCCAAATGTTAAAATGACCAACTTTGGAGCTTAAAAATCCAAATTTCCACCCCTGGCTCCAATAGTTTTGCTGCTTTATCTCTAGATTTGACCTTCATGAACACTAAGGGGGTAATTTAAAAAAAAAATTTATTACTTAGTTTAACATTTATTAAGCCTTAAAGTTCTGATCAATTTAAGGGTGTGGTTTCTTGACTGGCAGATGATTGACAGTTCTTTCAGCCAGTCACCTCACGGCATCGTTCTCTGTAGTCATTTATTCCAGCTAGTTTCATCTAAAGAAATTTGCTACTCCTTGTGTTTTTTGTTTTTAGATTTTATTGTCGGTTGTGTCTTTTTTTTGTGTTGTGGTTTTAGACCGTCGAGTGTGTGGTTTCTACGCCCACGTCTCGCCTTCCAATTACCCAGACTTTCACAAAGGTGATTGCTAGCGACGGCCACTTTTAGCTTAATTTCACTGGGTGCATGCATCCCTGACGCGCTGTCCATGTTATATACAGTCGATGGCGTTAACAAATATAAGCAGGGCGACGCAGTTTCTAGTCCTGAGCCCGCCATCTTTTCCCAACTTCTCTCTGCCAGCTTCTCTTTCTGTCTAAAAAATGTTATTTCAGCCCAAAAAAATGTAAAAAACAAAAGCAAAAAAATAAAAGGTAGTGGATATACAGCCAATAATGAATATTTACTGATGCTGAAACACGCTAGATGGAATGTTATTATTTTCATCTGTAACCTTCTAGAATGTAAGAATATCTACAGGTGGTTCCTTTAATAACGTGTTGAATTAAATTAAAAGATGCTGACAAAAATGTTGGTGAATATTGCTGTCAAAGGCCGTCGCATTTATGTTTTTGATGCATTAAAGCCCAGATGCTTATCATCAAACTCGGCCTTATCTCAGAAAAACACGTTTCCAGTTGACTAAGAGATAACACACTTCCTGTGACGGTCAAACCAGTGAAAAACTCCACCAAACCTTTAACCTCTCCCTTTGAAAGAAAGCTGATGTCTATAAAAATGAGCTTCACATTGAAGAGCAGTTCACAGAGGGATGCTGTTTTTAACCATCACCCAAAGCATCGTATCGAGAATGACTGTGTTCGCCGCGCCTGACCTGTCCTGTGTGTTTAATGCCTTCTGGATCAGGCTGCAATAACCTGGATTGTTTAACTTTTGTTTGCAGAGGATGTTCGCTTTGTGGCAGATGAGCCAGCAGTCAATAAAGAAGACACAAGGATGTTTGTTGAGCTTTTAACAGGCTTTTAAACTCGTGTTGACGGGTGTTTAGCGATTTCTCAAGCTCTGCTGATATGGAAAATAACAGACTTTGAAGTTTCCATCCGCCGCAGTTTTATGTCGTTTGTACAAGTTTTCTTAAACGCTGGCACAGTTAAACGGCATCTACGGCCTGTATTTAAATGTTTTCTGTGATGTCAGCGACAGCGTGTCACTTGCCCCTTTTATTGCTGGAAACCTTTTGTCAATGACATCACAATATTTGGACGAGAACTTCCTGTATTCCATAATTAGCTTCAGAAATGCAGCATTCAACATGACCTTTCACCCAGATTCCATTAATGTAATTTACTAGACTTTCTACTAAAAAAAGCTAAACGTACATGAGTTCTATTAATTCATTTGCTAAAGTTTGTACAAAAAAAGTTCTATTTAAAGCTATTTTTAGTTTTAAAAATGTGCCCTTTGTGACTAGTGATATAATCTTCACCTGAGCTGTAGATTTTTAAAAAATTGGTTTGCTAGGGTAAACAATATGGTTGCTGGTGAGAAATTATTTACATTTACATTGCATTTATACATTTGGCGGACGCTTTTATCCAAAGCGACTTACAATTAGAATGAACAAATGAACACAGTTCCTGCTTTCCCTGGGATAAGAACCCACAAACTTTGCGTTGTTAGCACAATGCTCTACCAACTGAGCCATAGGGAAAGCAGAAATTATATCATTAAAAGCACCAACTCATTAAATCCCAGTGACCCTAAATAGGGATCTTTTAACATTTCAGAATTATAGATCAATGCATTTCCAGAAAATATATATATAGAAAAAAGAAACATGTGCAGTTTCACATGTTAGCTGTAAATTGTCATATGACCAGCATTGTTTACTTCCTGTTTGCTCTGAAAAAAAGAATGGCCAATGAAGGTTCCAAAGAAAAGGTTAAACATAAAGATAGGACAATAATTTTTGGTGTCTGTCATATTTAAGGTGTCTAGTATTGACTTGTGTATTTGAACTTACTTATCTTTCTTCAATGTGATCCTTGATCTCACAAACGTCACCAGCAACAACAGTGACTGGTGAAAGATCCTTACGCTGAGCAAACACTTTTGGGTTTGCTCCCATTTCACAAGCTCAAAGTTTTCTACATACACAAAAGATCCATTATTCTCAAATTTTGTTCTGTTTAAATCTGCGTCAGTGAGTGCTTCTTCTTTGACGAGATAATCAATACCAACTCACAGGCGTGGCATTTCAAGGTGCTGATTAGACAGCTGATTATTGCACTGGTGTTTGCCTTGAGCTGCCCAGAAACTCTACCTAACCTTCTGTTGCTTCCTACCTTTCTACATAATTCTACACAAACACACACACTCACGCTTGGACATTCAATCTGTCCAGTGGTTTATACTATACCATATCCAACCAGTTTCTATTATGATGGTGACACACCTTTCCACACTTTTCCTGAAAACTTCTCACAATTATAATTATTTTAAAGGGCTACGGATTCCATTTGCATATTTTTGTGTCTGGGAAAAAAATTGGGATTAAATGGGTTGAAAATGGCCAGAACTGTTTAGTGCCAGTAAATTGTCCAGAGCATGTTTTTTCCTCTTTCACTTCAAATGAAGGGGCTACAGTACAAACATCCTTTTCTCCCATAAACTACAGCTTTACAAACTACATCCGGACACAGTTATCAAAGAAATATGACACACCCTGAGAAAGAAACATTGTAAAACATTATTCGGAGAAAATATGTTTTCTTTGAATGTTGCTTTTCAATAAAATGTACAATACATTTGGTATTGCATGGTGAATAAGTATCTGCCTGGATTTCTCTACATTGAGAACACCAACAATCCTGACCAAATCTCCACCTCCAGTTACAGAAATGCAGCCCCAAATGTTCAAGGAACCTGTACCTGCAGACATTTTTCTACCGTTCTCCAGTCTACTAACTAAAATTGTAACTAACTAAAATTATTTCACCTGCTGATTTTACTTCACCCGTATTCCTATGTTTTCGTACACATGAGTCAGTTGGCCTTGTTCCATGAAGAACACTTCTGGTCAGATTTCTCCAGACACTAGATGAATGAACCTCTGCATTCCACTTATTTCTGCCAGTTATGCTGAAGGATTTGTTTTGATACCTTCCGATTTCAAAGGGTAATAAAAGCTTGGAGTGTTCATTGCCTGAAGAACTAGTTATATCAGCAAATGTTTCTTATTAAAATGTATATTTTTCATAATAAAGCAGATTACTTATCTTATGTCCTCACACATTATTATTATTATTATTTGCCTCATCAATGACTATCATAAATTTTATGGTCAGGTTGCAAGAACGTGGCTGGTGAAAATAGCAGTTTGAGGGAATAATTAGCATGATCGTTTTATGAGGCTTGTGCCGGTTAAACAGTATCTTTGGCAATGTTTACTATTATTAGCACTTAAGACATTATTATTAATTAATATACGTTCATAAAAGTGGTGCAAACGTTAAATCGCCTCGATTAATGAATTAGTCGTAACTTATTAAAGGAATGCTAAGCTAGCAATGGCTAGCTTTTACGCTAACCACAACGTATTGAGAGCAATATTTTTAAAACGGTCAGTAAATTTATAATATTATAAATAAGAGTAAAAACACAAATTAAACATTAAAAAATAGCTGAATTATTTATTACAATCAACTTAAACTAGACAATTTATTAAAACCAATTCAGGATGTCAAGTGGATTATTTATTAAATTCACGTTTCCAGCATAAATTGAATACGTGATAATGAAAATATAAACATTATTCTAATGCCACATGAAAAGTCTAAAACGAGTCAAACGTATTCAGGTTTGTGGATAAATACTAAATATGGTTGCTTCAGTGGTTTTCACGTGCTTTACGTAGTTATACACCCTTGTTTAAGACATGTTTTATTACAGGGATGCGAACTTTAATCTGTCGCCACTTTCTTTAGTCCTTAACAAGCAAAGTTGAGATAATATTTAACACTTCTGTCTTGCTCTGGGCTCTCCGTGGAGCCTCCTCGGGCAAACTGAAACCGAACTGCGCTGGATTATATCGTAACCACGAAAAATTACCTTTTTAACACGTAAAATGGTCAGTATGTGCTTAATATCGTAATTACTGTAAACATAAAGGTGTTTTTATGTCTATCGAACAGTGCGTAAAAGCGCATTTGGAGATGCGTGATTGATAAAACTCGACTTTTCTTGTAATGTTTTAGGAAATTGGTAAATGGCTTCTAGGAGCACTGGGGATTGTGGTGATAGTAGTTTTAATAGCTGTCCCAACAGCTATTCTTCTTAAAGGTAGGTGAATTTTTCTGTAAATCCATGTTGCACGTGGAATTTTATACACCACACAACTAACATGTCTATTATGTAACTATTAGTCATGCTTTCTGGAATTATAACTCTGAGTAAATTAAGAAATGTTTGCAAAATAGTAAAAAATGGGATGCCAAGGCTGACTGACCCCAGAAGAGCTGACATAACATAAGAACATTTCAACCTTTTCTTATCTGATCCATTATCTTCACCATTATCTGAACTTTGCACGTCATGATTTCTTATCTACAATCTACAGAACAATTGTACATCCCTGGATCTGGATGGATGGATGAATTAAAGTAAATATTTAGTATTATTTTAAAAAGATTATTTAAAGTGGTCTTTACATGTAAAGATTAAAATCAATGTAAATTTCACAATAAATCTGTTTTATTTTAACCTAAAATAGTCGTTAGAGAGTCTTGAGGGTATTTTAAATATTTAGATATATATCCATTTTGAGGGTTACATGGTTAATATTTTCATTGTACATTTTAATTCCATGTGCTCTCCAATCTCAAAGAAAGATCAACTTCTAAATAACTAAGTTAGCGGTCTACTGAATTGTTTGATATTCAGAATATTTTGCATAAAAAAATAATGACAAATGCTGAACCGAACACTCACCAGAAGCACTATTTTACTTTCTGATTAACATGTAATAATGTCTCTCTGTCAGAAGATAAAGATGCAAAACTGAGGACTTTTACTTTGGAAGATTACTTTAATGGCACAGCAAGAAGCAAGTCATACAGCATCCGCTGGGTCTCAGGTACGATCAGGTTGTTAAAAGATGATTCATACAGGAGATAATATATTGTTATCACTGAAGTTAGCGGCGAAACTTGGTTTTTGGTTCATGTGTATTTCGCTCAGATTATTTATCATTTTTGTAACGTTTCCACATCTTTCTTTTTCAGATGATGAGTATTTTCACAAAACAGGAGATGGATCAGTGTTTCTGTTCAATGCTACCACAGGAAATGGAATTGAGTTTCTGAACCAGCAGATCTTTGTAAGAAGTTAATAAATGTAAACTATAGTTAAAAAATTTTCTTGACATTTGCAAAGCTGTGGATAAGGTTTCGTCACTGTGGATTGGTCTGGGGTGGTCAAAAAGTCGTATCGCAGAAGATTTATGAAAATTAGGGATGGCTCCTTCTTGTACCGACATGACCAGGGCATAAAGCAAGGTCCATAGATGCACGTTTGTTCTAGCCGAGTCTCTACCTGAGAAAACACATATGGGATGATTGGAAGATAGGCCTTCTCATTTAACATCATGTATCTGACCTCACAAATGTGTTTATGGATGAAAGTTCACATACAGACCTAGAGCCAATGGGCCCAGCATGTACAATGCATTAGAATGCTTGTGGTAGGGGACAGATGCCCAGACTCTTTGGGCTGAGGTACATGCCTCTAGACTCCTTTGACTTTAGAGTCCTTAGGGTATTGTTCACAAGCATAGAGTCATTGGGCTAAGTAACATGTTCCTAGTCTCCTTGGGCTAATTTACAAAGACCTAGAGTTCATGAGGTATGATACAAGGGCCTAAAGTCCTTAATGTAAACTAAAAAGCCCTAGAGTCAAAAGGATATGATACAAGGACTTAAAATTCTTGTAAGGTGCAATTATCTAGAATCGTTGACCGGGCTCCAGACTCGGAATAAGGCCCCAGACTCCTATGAATAAGGTACAGGGCACTTGAGGTATGGTACAGGGCCCTGAAGTCCAAAGGGTCAGGTTCAGGGACCCATTGATTTAGGGGTTAGTGTCCAAAGTTCTGCTAAATCATAAGTACTTTATTTGTTTTAAGAGACTCAAGGCTGTCAGACATCAGAAGAGCTGCAGAATTGTCTAATACGAAAGTGGAAGTCACTTTCTTCACCCAAAGCTTGGTTTTGCATCAACTAGTGAATAGTTATCAGTCATCCCTTATGCCAATGATCTTACTTATGATCTAAACACTTAAGCAGATGCCTCTTTCTGTACAGCGACTGCCTTTGCTTTTAAGAAGTAAATTAATTGAGGAACCGAAATCAGCAGAGGCTGCAGCCTTCAATATTTTTTTTTTCTGAAATATAAATTTTTCACATTATATTGTTACTACTGCACTGTTTAAAACCTTTTAGAATATTGTAACTTCACCACTAGAAGCCATTCTTAATTTTAAACACAGTTTATTGTTCAAGCTTAGATACTTCTTTTATTTTACCCTGCATTACCATACATTTCCTTACAACAGAAATCTATGAAGTCACTTTATAGCAATAACATAACTTGGTTAAGTTGTATTTTGTCTCTGCTGTAAGGCTCAAGTGGCAGCTTATGATTACCTGGTGTCAGCCG